CCTCTCATTTTCTCATCTTAATTTTAAAATTTGAAAGCCTAGAAAAAAGGAGTATGATTTTCACCCGACTTACTTGAGGAATAACTAAAGTCCAAGTGCTTCCCTTGTTCTCACAAGCAAGGCAATTTTCAGTTTAGTGAAAATGACCCCCTGGCCACAAGTCGTCTACAGCTGCCGCCCTGCCCTGCGGGTGGAGGAGATAAAGTATGTAAAAGCGCTTTACAAAGGGCAGACAATTCACCACGATAGGACTCTTACTGGGACCCATGATGGGAAGACTCTTCTGGTGATGACTATGGTCACGAATCTTAACCGAGCTGCCACTGTCTTCCCAGTACCCTGTCAACTCTCAGAATACCGCCTGTCCCCACACAGGGCTCACGGCCTTACTCCTGCCCAGCAAGCACGTCTGGGCCCGTCTGAAGGTCATTTGCCTTTGAGAGCGTCACTTCATGTGAGTGCTGACATAGTAAGTGTCCATGTGAACGCCAAGCAGTATTTCAAATTGACCTACGTGGGCGTCTCACCTTGAGACTCTGCACACAGGGATGGGGACCTCCTCGGCCAGCTAGCCAACACCTACCGGGGTGCGGGGGGCTCCACCTGGTCTGCAGCCCCTCCCATCCCTCGGTGCTATCTGCTGTGTTCAGCAAACTGGCTTCCGCTGGAGAGTAAACTTTTCTTCCTGTCCTGCTTCCTCTCTGTGAGCTGAGAACTGCCTCCCAGTAAGGAAATCAGCTATCTGGTTTCACATGGTATTTTTTAAAGGAATTTCTTGGCTCCTTGAAATGGCCACCCTTTCTCTCTTCCTCAGTTTCCGGCGCAGCCCATCTTGGTGGGTGCAGCCCACCTCTCCTGTTACTACCCAGAACAAGCCCGGGGAAGCTGTGGTGGTCTGCATAGGGATTTTTTTTCAAGTTTGTGCTCTCCGTGGATACCTTTGCCCTGTTCCGTAGCTCCTTTTGCTGGTTGGAAACTTCCCATTCAAATGCCACAAGGAGTGAGTCTGCTTCATTCATTACAATTATTTAATCAGTTACAACAGGGGTTGGAAATTATCTCCAAGGCCTATCATTTAATAATTCTAACATTCCCAATCCTTGGCTGTCATGAGCACTGTGTTACGTCTCCCTGGAAGGAAAGCAAGGTATGCAAGCTCAGTATGCCACCGATCTCCTGGGGCACTAGCGATAAAGCACAGAGATAGAGAGAGGAAAGACAGAAGACAGTCACCAGAGCTGCCAGGGCTGCTGGTGGTGCCCCCGCGCATTGTTGGCTTTATGGCTGTTTTCTACAGAGGGTAATACCTGAGGCCATGTGGTCGGGCCCAGGGACTAGCGGATACTAGAAGATACAGGACTTCCAACCTAGAGGGAGAGACCGGACCATCTACGTGTTCTTCCCAACTTCTCAAAACGGCTCCAGGCCAGCTTTCAAATCAGGACTTGAATAAGAACTGACAAAGGTCATGAGCTGAGGTGAATTTCAGACAGGAGGAAAGACCATGTTTCTATACCTGAAGTGTTTTTTTGCATAATAGACTAATTTGTGATTTGGAGATAACAGAGTAGAATGACTTCTGCTAGGGTAAGAAAATGATCTTTTTGTCTTTCTCTAATGATCAGGGGAGTCTGAAATTCCAATCCAAGGATTTATGAAGGAAAGAGAGAAAGGGATTTCAAAGGAGATGTGTACGATGATAAAATGTGAAAAACTGAAATTTCTAAACTGTCTCAAGAATGCCTTACAAGATTTCAAGTTAAATGAGCTTAGAAAAACTATCCCAGTGGGAACCTTTTACTAGAAAAAAGACAGAAAATGTTGTAGGATTTTAGTTATAGCTTTTAGCAAAGCTTGGATATATTAGAAAATGTAAAGGCAGCTTTTTATTGATATTAACTAAATTCACTCCTGTCTCTATAACTCTTGCTTGTACAATCAGTTATTAACTACCTGCAACCAGTAATCCACTGCCCTTCAAAGTGGCAGAAACAGGAAAACTGGATTTTTACATGCAGTTAATCAGTAGAATTAGATTGCTTTGGCAGGGAAGGATCATCCCTTCTGAAAACATCCCGTTGTTTTTACTGCCCTCCCCTCCCCCCAAGGATGGCAGACCCCAGCTCTCAGGTCTTCCCCTTGTTTCACGTTCTGCCCACTTTTACCCCACGTCCTCCAGCACGGGCTAAGTGAGATATACATAAAAGACCCTCACTTCCCAGCTATAAAATAAAATGAAAACCCCAGTGGGAACCAATTAATCAATTGCAAAACCAAACAGAGTATGGCCTAGTAACCTCGCAGATGTTTTACAACCTCTACAAACGAGCTGGAAGATTCCCCCACTTCTGTGAATTTTAGGCGCGTCTTTCCAAGGGCAGGCTCCGTTTGCAGTTGAACTTCTGGCTACTCCTGGGGGACCTGTTTCTGAAGAGACAGAAGCTAAACCTGCGGCCCAGACACCCTCCATTTCGGAGGAGGTCGACTTTGAGACGCAGAGTGTGGTCCTCTCTGCCCTTATCGGTGCAGACCAGAAGCAGCGAAGGCCACGGGAGGAAATTCTTCTTTTCCTTAGGCCAGGCACCTTGCCATCTACCAGGGGACTGTCATTGTGCCCACAGGCTGCGTGTCCTTCCCAGTCTTTACGTCAGCATTAGCCTCGCCCTGGCTCCAGCGCTGAGAGGCTCTCAGATCTGGCTCTCGGTCTGGCTCAGGGTCTCCGGAAGGGATTCGGGACGGGGACAGGGAGGTGCCGCAAGCTCTGGGGATAAACCTTATTAAAAGCATGCCTCCCTGCCCGGAAAGGGGCCTAAGCATCTACGCCCCCAGCAGCTCAAGGACCAAGGTCCAGGAGCCGCCTCTCCAGGGTGGTCCCCTCCGGATTTCCTCCAGGAAGAAAAACAAAACAAAACAAGTCCAGACTCCACGTGGTGCTAGAGCCGGGCCCCAGCCCTGCCGCGCTCCTGTGGCCCTGAGTTCAGAGGCCCGCGAAGGTAGCACGCGCTCGGGCTCTAAGTCTCGGAGAACGCCCTGGCCAGCCCCGGCCACTGGAAGGGACTCGCGTCCCGGAGCACTTTCACTCCTCTCTCCCACCAGCGCCGGGGCGTTCAAACAATAGCGCAGACGCCCAGCCCATGGTCTACGCGGTACCCGGGGCCGAGGGGGCGCGCTGCACATGCGTCCGCCGCGGGGCTCCCGGGCACGGCTCGACGCCCAGGACGGCGAGGCCGGACCGCCCCAGCGCCCCGCGCGCCCCGCTCCGCGGCTGGGCCTTCCGGAGCGAGCCCTCGCCTGGCACCTTCACTGAAAGCGCTTGAGGACAAGGGAGGGGTCTGGGCTCCACTGGAGGTGCCAAAGGCTGCCCTCACAGAAAAAGAAAGAGAAATCCGCAAAATCGCCTTAAGCGGTTCAACCAAAGGTCAACAGCAGCATTTCCCACCAGCTGACAGGTCAAATGGTCAGGAAACAAGTGCTGAGAACAAAGCCCCCCGCTGTTCAGCGGGGGCAAAGCCGGCCGCGGCACTGAGCAGTTCTGTTGTGCTTTCTGGAGCGGGCGGTGGGACGAGGTCCCCCCACCTCCTTTCCTCCGGGTGAACAGGTCCGGAGAGGAAAGGAGAGGAGGGGCGGGCGCGGGCCGCCTGCAGCGAGAGGGGTGGC